CCTTCCTTCCTTCCTTCCTTCCTTCCTTCCTTCCTTCCTTCCTTCCTTTTCTTTCTTTCTTCCCAGGTAGTGGTAGAACAGGACTTTAATCCGAGCACCTGGGACTTCAAAGCCAGCCTGATTTACAAAGTTAGTTCTAAGATAGCCAGGGCTACACACAGAAACACTGTCTCTAAAAACTAGAGGTAGGGTGGGGAGGGAGGGAGGGAGGGAGGGAGGGAGGAAGAGCGAGTCTGACATCCCTGACAAGCCTGGAACTTTCTATGTGGTCCAGGCCAATCTTCGCCCCTCAAGTTCTGGGGCTGAGGACATTGACAGCATTCCTGCCTGTGAGACTCCTGCTTTTCCACTTAGAAACACTGTGCTACTTATGAATAGATACAGGAAGAGGCATAGAAGAAGTTTGAAGTTTCTAGAAAAAAAAATGTTGGCAGGTTAACAGATATTACTCTAGCAGGTCAATTTTAGTCATGTTTACATAAGACACAAATCTGGAACTATTCTTTTAAGATTTGTTTATTATGTATACAGCATTCTGCTTGCATGTATGCCTGCCAGCAGAAGAGAGCTAAGACTCAGTCCATAAACTCTGGAGGAAGGGGTTGGAGGGAAGGTGGGGCTGTCCCTGAGTTGAACTGGACTCTAAATGCACAGAAGACACCAGCTTTGGAAGCCAGGCACAGCCTGACAGCATACAGTCTCCTTTGTAACCTCACGTTGCTCATTCTCTGATGTAACTCACTCTGAGTGCTGTGGTCTAGATGTAGAAACTCAGGAAACAAATGTGTAAGATAAATTCACCTGTTTCTTTTGCCCTTTGGCATATCGTTACTAGGAAATGAGGCATTACAAGCAGCTTATACCCTGCCCCCACTGGGTGATTCTTCATGAAACATTTCCCTACTCAAGAGATGCCTCTGCAATTTGAAAATCTTTGAAACTCACTATTCCTGGGAGTACACGAATGGGTCGGCTGTGGGCTAGCCAGCCAGCTGCTCTGTCTCTGGCTGGTTCCCAGTGATATCTTGGGGCACCGAAAACAGCTTCAGAGGCCAAGGTCAGCATGTGATTCCCTACACACAGTATTTAGTTTTGTTTTGTTAACTGAAACAGAGTCTCATTATGATGCCCAGATTAACCTTTAACTCAAAACATTTGTCTTGCCTCAGCCTCCCAATGCTGGAGTTACAGCTGTGTACTGGCAAGCCTGGCCCGCAGACATAAGTGTCTGCACTCCCAGCAGCTATCCTCCAAAGGCTCCTTACCTTGGATCAGGGTGGTATTGGGTGACAGACAAAAATGTCCCTAAAGAACAAGTGTCTCCCAGGGAGGATAGCTCTAGGACTCTGCCAAGTGAAGTACGTGGTAGTACCCACTGTTAATGGTGATGTCATCAGCATCACAATAGCATCTCTCTGGTCAGCTCTCTTCATGGCCAGATGACATGCCTTGGTCCCACTGGAAACATGAAAGATTTTTTAGAATATTCTGTTGTTCTTGCTTCTTTTGTTGATGCATTTCTTCTACGGATTCTTCCTTGTACAGAAGTTTTTGAATGGTGTGTGTGCTGCATGTCTTGTATGATAGAGAGGTGCCACTCCCCCATCCTGTAGTAGTCAGTACCCTAGAGAGTGAAGCCTTCTTATGCTTTCTCAGAGTTTTGTTTATGTATTCTCTGCCCACTGATAGCAGCACAGGTTTTCACTGTTAGCCTCATAAGAGCCTACTATCAACACATGATTATATGAGATAATATGAGATAATATTCCTTGTTTGTTCTATCCTTGAACAACAAGGAAACCCAAAGTGTGAGTTAGGAGGTTGTGATGGTTTGCATATGCTTGGCCCAGGGAGTGGCAGTATTAGAAGGTGTGGCCTTGTTGGAGTAGGTGTGTCACTGTGGGTGTGGGCTTTAAGACCCTCATCCTAGCTGCCTGGGAGCCAGTATTCTGCTAGCAGCCTTCAGATGAAGATGTAGAATTCTCAGCTCCTCCTGCACCATGCCTGCCTAGATGTTGCCATGTTCCCACCTTGATAATAATGGACTGAACCTCTGAACCTGTAAGCCAGTCCCAATTAAATATTGTCCTTATAGGAGTTGCCTTGGTCATGGTCTGTTCACAGTGGGAAAGCCCTAACTAAGACAGGTTTAAACACAGCCAGCATCCACAAGAAAAGAAAGAAAAGAAAAAAGAATAGTCACATCCTCCCAAGTCTGGACTCAGAAGGATAGGCAGACCCTAGCAGGAAAGAATTCTGGGAAGGAAAAGTATGATATTCTAAGGTGAACCCATATTCCTAGGGGTGGTTACCTGAGCCAGGTCTCTGATTGCCCACAAAATCAAACCTTAAAGGAAGAGACCAGGGGGTGTCTCATCCTAGAGGTGAAATCCATTCTCTCTCTCCAGCTCCCCACGCCTTGTTTTTGAGACAGGATTTCTCTCTGTAACCCTGGCTGTTCTGGAACCCAATCTGAACTCAGAGACATCTACCTTCCTCTGCTTCTGATGTGCTGGGACTAAAGACGTGTGCCACCATGCACTGCTTGGATTCTGTTCTTCACTATTGTGTCTGAAGTCGGGAAACAGAGGTGAATGCTAGTATCCCACTCAACACTCCATCCTCAAGAGACTGGCACTTCCATGCTTGTATGTGTCTGACCCTCACTTCCTCCTGTAGTCTTGGCATTCCTCACTCTCCCTCCCCTCCATGTGGACGCTCTACTAGCAGAGGTGGCTGAGGCCCACACCCTCCTACACAGGATGCTTACCCAGATTCCCAGCCACAGTAACACTTGAGTTCCATTACCCCACATCCAGCTGCTTCCAACAGCACCAGCACTGATACCTTCCTGTCTGATAGTTCCCATCCGTTGTGACTTTACTGTCCATTATCTACTGAGGAAGGAACACATTTGCCAAACTCACACTGGAAGTTAATCCCCAAGGCAGGCAGGCAGGAAGGCAGGAAGGCAAGCAGGCAGTCATATCCTAAGGGTGAAACCAACCCAACTGTGGTGCTCTTAGTGGCCTGAGGGAGTTGATAAGATTAGGTTGGTCATTAGGGTGCAGCTCCTTGGCTCAATCCTGTTTTGAGTTATCTCTCTGTGTTGCTGTTAGTATTCTGTCTAAACTCCACCTCCACAGTTATCTGGCAACAGCCAGGTATGTTCCTCCCCACAGTTACCTGGCAACAGCCAGGTAGGCGTGCCCACTATAAAAGGGGCTGCTTGCCTCCTCTTCTCTTCCTTGCTCTCTTGCTCTCTTGCCTCTAGCTTCTCTCTGTCCCCTTGCCCTCCCCTTCCCTTCCCCCTCTACTTCTCTTCTTCCTCTTTCTTCTTCCTCTCTCTCCTCTCTTCTTCCATCTTCTTCCTCTACTTCTCTCCCCCCCCACCTTTGCCCTATCTCCTGAATACCCCTTCCAACCGTTTGGTCTGGTGTTGTCTGTTCTTAGCTGCGCACGGACGTCCAACAGTTGCCTAGGCTGGCATCAAACTTGCTATGTGGCAGAGAATGAGCTTTTGAATCTCCTGTGCCCACCTTTCGAGTGCTGGGGACTTAGGCACACTCCATAATAGCCACTTTGTGTAGCACACTAGGCATAGGATCCAGGCAAGTACCCAACAACTGAGCCACCTCCACCCCCAAACCCCAGACGCCCAGGGACTTTCATTTTATCCGCCAAAGCTAAACTCAAACTCCTGAATGCAAGCGATTCTCTCATTTTAACCTGAATAGCAAGAATTGTTGAGGTCTGGCCCCCAGCATAGCTGTAGCCATTTTGTTCCATGCTCCCAGCTATTTCATGTTGCTGTAATCTGTCTGTCAGTCATCGACACAGGAAAAACAACTTGAGTCAGAGCAGGTCATGCTGACCACATACCCTGATATGTTCTGTATGCTCTGAGGTTTGTTAATCTTAAGAAATTCCAGAACCACAAGCTTCACTTAGGACCCATCAAATTAAAAGTCATTATGAGTTTTATGTCTAAAATGACCTGAGCCAGGGCCGACTACTGGGCAGCACTTCCAGTACCTGTGTATGAGTTCATTGTGGTTTTGCAGTCTTAGCCTTTATAAGCTGGCCCTGAGAAGTGTCCAGTGCACAGCTTTCAGCTCCAGCCTGAGCTGTTGCCCTGCTCATCAGTCTTGGGGTGTGCATTCAATAAACCAACCCTGTTTAACTGAGAGTGGTGTTCCTGTGTGTTGTGGGGAGACCCCTGAACCTCAACAGGAATGATAAGCAGTGTGCTCAGTCCAGAATGAACACACACACACACACACAAACACACACATCATCATCATTATCATCATACAATACAATACAATACAATACAATACAATACAATACAATACAATACAATACAATACAATACAATACATTCCAACTGCAGCCTCTCCTCCCTCCACTCTTCCCATTCCATTCCTCCACCTTCCTTCTCCACCAGATGCATGACTCCTCCCTCAATTTCCCTTCAGTAAAGAGCAGACCTCCCAGGATGTCAACCAAACACAGCATAATAAGATACAGTATGAATAGGCACAAACCCTCATATCTGGGCTGGATGAAGCAACCTAGTAAGAGGAAAAGGGCCCCAAGAACAGGCCAAAGAGTCAGACACTCCCCTATTCCCACTGTTTGGAGTCCCACAGAAACCCCAAGCTAACAATCACAGCTATGCAGAGAACCTAGTGAAAACCCATGCAAGTTTCTTGATACTACTTCAGTCTGTGGGCCCTGCTTAGTTGATTCTGTGGTCTCTGTTCTCCCCATGTCTTGGATTTCTCTGGATCCTACACTTCCTCCTGCCCCTCTTCCACAGGGTTCCCTGAGCTCTGCTTAGTATTTGGCTGTGCATCTCTGCATCTGTACCCATCAGCTGCTGGAGGAAGAAGCCTCACCAATGAGTGGGCTAGGCACAATGTATGAGTGTAACAGAGTAGCATAGGAAGCGTTTCACTGACTCTTTTTTTAGAGTTGCGTTTGTTTCTACCATAGGTCTCTGGGCCATCCAACTTCTGGTTTCTGACCACCCAGGTACTGTGGGGCATAGGCTTCCTCTCATGACATAGGCCTCAAATTAGACGAGTCACTGGCAGGCCTCTCCCACAAGCTCTGAGCCACCATTGCCCCAGCATATCTTGCAGGACGGGTATGGATCTAAGGTTTTGTGGCTGGGTTGGTGTCCCAATCCTACCACTGAAAGCCTAACCTGGTTATAGAATATGGACAGTTTAGGCTCCATAGTCTTCATTACTAGAGTCACCCTCATAGGTTGCAGGAAGTTCCCACTGTACTTGGTTTCCACATCTGCCCTATGCCTTCAATTCCTGCCATCTCTCTTAACACTCTCTCCCTCTGTACTTTCCTTTCCCATCCCCACTAGACCCCCAGTCCACCCGCAAAATCTATTCTATTCCCCTTGACAGGGAAATCCACGTACCCTCCTCCCAGATCTCTCCTTATTAGCCTCTCTGGATCCGTGGATTGTAGCATGATTGTCCTTTAATTGAGTACATACCATGTTTGTCTTTCTGGGTCTGAGTTGCTCTGCTCAAGATGATTTTTTTCATCTGGCTGTAAATTTTATGATGTCAATTTTTAACAACTGAGCAATATCCCATTGTATATATGGTTCAGGTTTTCTTTATTGATTCTTCAGTTGAGGGACATCTTGGTTATTTTCAGTTATTGACTGTTATGAATAGAGCCACTATGAACATACTTGAGCAAGTGTCTGTAGTGAGCCCTTAGTGGTGCTTCCAGGAGCTTGGCAGGAATTTGCCATTGAGCTAGGACACAGAAGTAGGCTCAGGTAAGAATTTGACTTTGGGCTAGGACAAGGAAGTAGGCCCAAGATTTTGATCATCCTGATAACTCCTTGAATACCATGGGACTTTGTTTATTCCTTTGTTTGTTCCTTGACTATTTTTGTTTATTGCATTGTTTGTTTCTTGACCTAGAACTGACCTTATTCTTTGCATGTACTTAGAATAGTATAAAAGCAGATGGGAGAACAATAAATCCACTTCAGCTTCGGAACTGGCTAGGATAATGTTATAATATTTTCTAATTGTCTTTTTTTTTTAAATCCTCGCTCTCTCCCTTGAGACCCTGTTGACTGACTGACAGCTGGCTTGGTCAGGTGGCATCTCAATGCTGGAGCTCACTTATGTGAGGTACAGTGAAGGACACCAAGGGAAAAGGAGTGCACACAAAGGAAAATAAAGATTTGGGCCATCGGTGAGTAAACCCTGTAAAAAGGGACAAAGTAATGATAGAATGC